ATACACAAATTAGTCTTTGTTATTTCATACCTTTTTTTTGGCATGAATATTTTAGGAATACCTTTTTTTTGCTCAAGTGAGTTATTAAAGTCTTTAGGAATTTTTAGTAAATATTACTGGCTTTAATTATGAATTAATTAGGGTCAAACTTGTGAAGACTTGTTCAAAGCACTGAAAAGCTGCAAAGACTCCACAGAACTGCCAGAGAACTAGCTTCTGGGAGGAGCCAAAACCCAGAGCGATCAGGGGATGTTGGGCCTTTCTAGCTGCTGTGGCTCAAAGAGAGAAGCAGCTCATAGCACACAATTAGGCATAGACGTGGGTGGAGCCCTTGCCCTGCCTTCAGGGCAGATGTCCACCAGCAGGACTGCCCAAGGTCTGGAGTGCCACAGGAGGTGCTCCTGTCTTCCGGTGGGAGCCTCCCGGAAAGGCAAATCAGCTGAACCTCGCCCCAGCCTCAGCCCCACAGACAAGGCTGCCTTGGCCTAAGGAGAGGACAGGAGGAAGAAAGTGGTGAACAACATGTCCTCGCAGAAGCGTGGTCTAGATCAGATGTGTTCGCTCTGGTAGGACATCCGAGCCGTAACTGTAGACATTGTGTACAAAAATACCCAGCTGGGAGCCATGAGACTCAGGGGTGGCATTTGCGTGGTGCTGCCCTGGAGGTAGTAGAGCTCTGGGGGTGATGGACATTCCAGAAGCCTGGAAGGTGCTCACGAGGAGAAGAACAGACGCAAAGATGTGCTAGAGATGGAGGGTAAGGAGACAAGGGCTATCAGATTCTCCCAGAACTGGCCCCAGGCCACGATCCACAGGGAAGGGAATGGAAGGAAGGGTCCTCAGGACAAAGCATTCTAGGAGGAGGGAAACCAGGAAGAAGAGGGTCGGGAACCTTGCTAAGTCCCGGTGGGAGGGAGCTCTCAGGGGAGCCAGCAGCAGCAGGGCCATAGCTCCGGCTGCCTTCCAGGACTCGAGGAGGTCACTGATGCCAGCCACGCGACGAGAGGGGGCAGCCGGAAAATCCACGGGCTCCTGTGAGCCCACAGTGGAGGACACGGAGGCCAAGCCCGTGAGCCAGACCCGAGGGCCACAAGCTGACAAGTGGCCGCACAGACAGCAGTGACGGAGAGCCCTGGGGGAAGAAGGGAGCTTTAGAAGGGGATGAGGGGAAGAGCGGCAGTGAATAGACATGGCCCGGGGGAGCCCCGTCGGGCTGTTGAACCCTGAAATACGGCAGTAGAAAGCTCTGCGTTGAGGGCACGTGTTGGGAAGAGCTGTTCACGATATGCACCTGGATATGTTAGGAGCCAAATAAGAGGGACAGCAACTTACCTTTGCGGAACACTTCCCTTACATTCCAACTGGAAGTAATTTTTACTAGGAGGCATTCCGTAAGGGCCTCCCCGGGGACCGGCGCCTGGGAGACTGCAGGTGGGTGGAGCAGGCCCTGTGCCGGGGACTTGTGTCTCAAGACTTCCCGGGAAGGGCTCTTTACGCTCAGGACATTATGGAAGCCACAAAAGAATGACAAGAAATGGGTTTGCATGTGTGTGAGATTTCCAAGGGCACAATCTGCTTTTAATTTCAGCACAAGATCCATGAAAGGCCTAAGACTCTTAGGTAACTCTCCATCATGTTCTTTCCTTCTTCCTCCTTCCTTCCTGCTTTGTGTTCATCCTGAGTCTGTTTCTTCTCTCCCCTTCCTTCCCTTTCTTTTCTTTCTTCCTCCTTCCCTTCCTTCCATCTTCCTTCTTTGCATTCTTCCTCTTTCCTCCCTCCCTCCCTTCTACTACAATAGGACGCAGTTGAGTTGAGTCCCCAGCATCAGCAGAAGGCACATGTCTCCGACCCCACAATGAGATGGAAGGGAGCTGGAGTGTGCCTGGTTGCCGCTGCAGACCCAGGCGTTTCTCACTCGGTGGCCCCACTGCAAGTGCAGATGGCAAAGTACTCCGCGGAAATAAGCATGCCCCCCACAAATGACACACCTGCCTCTGAGAACATGTTGACACAGCCCTGTCACAACCCCCTCCCGCAGCAGGACCCTCAGCCCTCAAGTCTGCCAGCAGGGGTGAGCTCTGGCCCCAGAGAATCCTTACCCCAAGCCTCCATCCCAGTGATGGGCAGTTTCTCTTTGCTCTCAGGAATCCCCAACAACAGCTGCCTACTTCCTCTGTCTTCTCCAAGTTTCTGGCTGTTTCCAAATCTGCCAGCCTTGTCATCCATAGTTTCATGAGTAAACACAATAGATTTCGGATACTGCTGAAATGTTTGCTTCTGGCCTTTTTTTTTTTTTTTTTTTTTTTAGAGAGAGGAAGAGACACAGGCAGAGGGAGAAGCAGGCTCCATGCAGGGAGCCCGACATGGGACTCGATCCTGGGACTCTAGGATTGCGCCCTGGGCCGAAGCCAGGCAGTACACCACTGAGCTTCCCGGGGATCCCCGTGCTTCTGGCCTTTCAGTCTTGTGTCTATAGCTGCAAATTGACTTTAGCACTCACCTCCCCACATCCTGAATAGCAGAGTCTTCATTTGCTCCCATCCCTGACTCTCTAGCATTGCTGGATAACCTGTCTGTTGTGAAGCAGCTCTGGTGGCTTCCATTCCTCTTGAAGTTCACCATCACTTTCTTCCCCAAAGTTTGAACACATCGCCTCAATTCTCAGAACATCCAGCTGAAACATAAGCAAAGCCAAACAACCAGTTAAATGATACGGATGGCTTTTTCCTTTTCAGTCTACAAAGTACCTTCACATTTTGTAGAGTTCTTCCTATTACAAATTACAAAGTGATCACAATCTAATATATTTGTTATGTATTTCTTTACAACCTTGCACACAATGCCTATTGGTTGAGTAACCCAATTAATAGAGAAGAGAATGAGAAAGAGTAGATTTATATTACTTGTAAAATTCACTAATCCGAGGTCAGTAAAATTCCATTTAATACAAAGCTTAAGAACTCAAATAGATCTAAATATATTAATGAAATCACATCTTCTTTTATCCACTCAATAAAGCATGAGCAGATTTATTTTTATTATATTTCTATTCATTTATTCAAGAAGTATTTATTAAAATGCTAGGCCCTGAGTAGGCTAATAAGCAAGACGGACAAGATCCCTGTTCTCACAGAGCTTACATTTTCTGTGATGTTTGGGTAGAATTTCAGGTGATAAAAAAATATATGAGGAAAGGAAAACAAATCTCTCCAACAGCAGAATTACGAGAAACAACTTCATCTCTAACACAGTGGTTCTCAATGGGCAGTGATTCCCTGTAGGGAACATGGACAATGCTTGGAGTCATTTTTGGAGTGATAGCTGGAGGGGCTACTATTGCATCTAGTAGATGGAGACCAGAGGTGCTGTTCAATGTCCTGCGATGCACAGGACACCCCCACAACAGGGAAATATCCAGACACAAATGTTGATAGGGCTGAGATCCAGAAACCGTGCTCTGACACTACAATTATGATTACATGCATCATATTCTTTTATACATATTTGATCTCACTGATAGGCACACGTAAGACATTTTTGCTGCTGCTTTGGAATTCCAATAGTATTTTTAAGGTTAAAAATTACTCTTTTTTTCAAAGAAGAAAAGGCTTAAACCTTTCAATTTTTTTCTTAAGCATATACAATAATCCAATTTCCTTTCACAAAATGCCTTCTTAAGGAAGGACTGTAACTTTCAAAACCCCAGAGCACTGACCACCACCATTATCCAACTGAAGACTGACCAATCCCAAGAAACTGCATTTTTTTAGGAAAAATATTAATCTGATGGAGAAATCTAATGATTCTGCATTTGTGACTTTTGAAAGCAGGAGAAAGTCTTGGAAGATTCCAAGCTCTCAGCTGCAGTGTTATCTTAAATCCAGTAAAATTGCAATCTCCTATCCATTCCAGGCTTATTTATGTAGCCAAATGAGACGATTATCAGAGTAGGGTATCAAGAGAAATGTTGCTTTCTTGACGGTCCTGCCGAACATAAATTCCAGATTCGTCACTCTCTGCAAAATAGAATTAAATAGAATTAAATGTACTAAATCTCAAGGATTTGATGACAATGGAATTATATTCATTTTTATTCAGTTGCCAATGAAACTGTGAAACTTACCTAGTGCTCTGGACAATGTCATCATCCTTCAGGGCCTCTGCTTTAAGGACAGTCTAACCATGTGAACCTCTCTCTTCTCCATCACTTCCCCCTCCTGCCCCAACCTCACCACCTGCAGGAGCTCCACTGACATCATCTTTGTCTTCCTAAACTGCCTTCTCTCTTTGGCTGTTTTTTTTTGTTTGTTTGTTTTTGTTTTTGTTTGTTTTTTGTTTTTTGTTTTTTTTTTTTAATGGACAAGTGTCTCCAACTAGTGCTGTGTCTTAAGGAAGCAACTCATTACAGTGCTGTATATTCATAGCATTTTTACGTTTTCCTCTATCCTTTTTATATCTTTAATTACATTTAAGCATTTGAGGAATCCATTATGTATCATAATCAAACATCATCTTGCCTTGCTTCTATTCCTCTTTTAAATCTAGATTTCTAAAATGACTGTTGTATTTTTATCTGCTTAACCCCATCCTCTCTGGTTTTCGTGGACACAGAGAGATATTTCCGTGGTGTGTTGTGAATTCCTGCACAACTCAGGGACATGATTTGCCTGGAAAACCATATCTGTTCTATGACAGAAAACACAGGAGAATACAGTCATGAGAGCTTGGACTTTGTGGATAGACAAGACCGAATTCTCACCTTGTCTCAGCTTCTTATAAGTCACTTAATCTCCAGAACCAAAATAGATTCATCAAATGAATACAGGACTTATTTTGAAATTGTTATGAGAATTACATATGTGGGAATGATGGCAGCTTAACACATATTTGTTACCTCTGCTGCAAAAATAATGTGTGCAGGTTGCTCTTCAAAGCAGGAACACCTACTAGACCAGACCTGGTTTCTTCTTTCCCTGATTCCAAAATACCTACCTTTGCAGATTTTTCAATGGAAGATGCCATCTGGACAGCTGGGAGCCAAAATGCTAACCAGTGGTCTCCTCCACTGCAGGAATCAATCAGATACACACATCTCACTCTTGAACTTACCTTGGGGTAAGAAGGGTAGGGTTTAAAGGTTTAAAATTCCTTAAATAAAAAATAATTTGTAACGGAGGAGGTTTTTGTGAGCTTGCAAAAGTCTAAAGCCTTCCTTTGTTTGAAAAATACTGTACACGGAATTGTCACAAAAAGAAAGCATAGTTACATTCTTTTAGGAAAGGAAATCTTCAGATGTTACTTACCCATAAACCAGTTACAATCAAGGCAGCCCAGGTGGCTCAGTGGTTTAGCACTGCCTTCAGCCCAGGGCATGATCCTGGAGACCCGGGATTGAGTCCCACGTCAGTCTCCCTGCATGGAACCTGCTTCTCTCCCTCTGCCTGTGTCTCTACCTCTCTTTCTCTCTATGTCTCTCATGAATAAATAAATAAAATCTAAAAAAAAAAACAACTAGTTACAATCACTCAGAATACATATAACACACATTCCTAGGAGTAAAAGTGAGTGTAAACTTTACTTAGGTGGAAAGATTCTTACAAAAGCCAAAGACATTAAAAGCACATTTTTTCCCCTAAAAAAAAAAAAATTCTCACATCTCAGAAATGGAGATACCATATAATCTGTGCATTTTCTTGCATTACATTGAGGTGGGTATTAGCAATAAGTGTTGAGAAAAATATACCTGTAGAATCTTCTTGATTCACACTTTCAATCTGCATCCTTGTGTCGCTATATCAGTCTGTATCATATCCAACACCATGTACTAAAACAGAAGCAGAGAAAAAAACAGGACTTTTCTCTGCTGAAGAGAACATTCTTCTGAAGCTTGGCAGCATTGCAACCAGTCAAAACTTTTCCATATAATATAATGGAATAAATCAATAGATTTATTATGGTCATTTGTCAAAATTTTACATTGAAATAATGATACTCCATAATATAATAAAGACAGCATGCTGATAGGAACTAAACATGAAAAATTTTTAATATTTTAAAATGGTATAAATAGTTTTGGCAGGAATGAATGTTTTGAAACAACAAAATTAGTTATGTATATATGTACACTGAAAGGGGAGCTTTACACAGCTCCACATAAAATAATGAAATTATTGATTAAATGAGGAAATTCAGTGATGGCTATAGGAAGTCATTATCAAGAAGTCTTTCTGCTAATTTCACATGTGTGCCTCATTTTGTTAACTGACTAAAATGAAATAATGAAATAAAAAGCAAAATAATTAGGCTCTCATCCTTCTATTTCAATCTAGCTGTGACATGGATGTGAGCCAGGAATGACAATAAAGAATGGGTAGGCCTCACGCTGTTTCCAATGAAGCTCTAAAACCTTGAGCTTGCAAAACTGAAGTAATGTCACCTTTTACACAGCAGACACTCTGAGCTTGGCATGCTGGGTTTGAAAGCAGTTACAGAACAGCTGCATTGCACAAATGGTGACCCCCTCCCCGAGGACCATTTTTTGACTTGGTCACCTGTCACTATGTTGCCTTGTGGACAATACTTTCTCATTCTACAAAACCAAGAGGCCCATGGGCTTTTGGACAAATATTTGAATTGTAAGCAAGTGAATCTTTTTTTTTTATTTTGTTTTTATTTTTTTATTTTTTTTAATAAATTAATTTTTATTGGTGTTCAATTTTAAGCAAGTGAATCTAAGTGCAAAATCATAAACAATGGAAACTTACAGATCTTCTTCAGCCCTGGAGTTCACAAGTCCATATGGGCTTCACAGATGGAAGCAAGGCTGCGGTCCTTTCTGGAGGCGCTACAGCAGAGCATGTTTTCTTGTCTTCTACAGCTTAGAAAGGTTGATCACATTCTTTGGCTTGTGGACTCTTTCCCCTTCAAAGCCAACAATGACCCAGTAAGTCCCACCACCTCATGAGGTATCACTTCATTCAAACACTGCTCTGCCTCCCATTTCCACATTTAAGTACCCTTAGGATTACACTGGTGGCCTAGGATAATACTCTTATTTTAAAGTCTACTAATTAGACGGCTTAATTCCATCTGCAGCTTTAATTCTCCTTTGACATCTAAAAATGTGGTCACACGTTTTGGGAATTATGAGAGAGATCGACATCTTTGTGGGAAAGAGCATTATTACAAGGTAGCAATCATCTACTTGCTGTTACTTCACACATCTAAAATTGAAGTACACAGAATGAATGAGATTGAGAATTAAGGAATAAGATTTAGAATTTACTCCGAAAACCACACCATTGTTTTAAATGCTCCTGTGTTCTGTATATCTAATTGTGGTATGTATATCCAATGATAATGTTGTGAAATGGAATCTTCTGTGTGCCTTTTGCAGAAACATTCTAAATGTGCAAACGTGGAAATCTGTGCATTTACTTTTAAACCTCTAAGCAGGGGCACCTGGGTGGCTCAGTGGTTGAGCATCTGCCTTCAGCTCAGGCTGTGATCCTGGGGTCCTTGGATTGAGTCCCGCATCAGGCTCCCCTCGGGGCCTGCTTCTCCCTCTTCCTATGTCTATGCCTCTCTGTGTCTCTCATGAATAAATAAATAAATAAATAAAATCTAAAAAAAATAAATCTCTAAGCATATAAATATTAACACTTATTCATTTGCCAGGTGAAATACATAAATACAACAAAACAAGGCATGTCACAGCATGACAATCTCTAAGGTGAAGCACATGACATAGTAATATGGAAACCAGGATTTGAAGTAAGCTGTACACCCAACATGGGGCTTGAATTCACGATCCCAAGATTAAGAGTTGCATGCTTTACCAAATGAGCTAGCCACGTGCTCCCTGGAAACCATGATTTGATGAAAGACTTGAAAACATATTGAATGAAAATTACCTACCCAATGACTTAATAAATATGTCTATCAATGTGTTTTGCTATTTAGTTGTCTGTTTTTCAAATGGGCTGGCCTATCCCATCCATTTCCTTCCAAAATCAGTACATATTGAATGATGATCTCATTTCGTGTTTTGGTGGTTGTACTTCTTTTAATCACCCTCAGAAAGGTTATTGAGAAGTACTTTTTTCTATTTTTCATAATCTGAAGTTGATTTAAGTAATTCTGTTTATCTTTTTTTTTAGAAATATATGTAGAAAATTAATGTTCCAAGTCTTTAACCAATGCATCTGCACAAAAAGAAGTTTTATAAAAAAGCAACAAAGTTTGATTTGCTGAAATTTTTGATACTAAAATATGTCAAGGACAAAATTTGAAAGCACTCATCAATTAAGATAAAATGTCAATGGAGCTATTAGAGTCATGAATATTTATGAGGTGAATGACAAAGCATCCAAATATATTTGAAATGTACTTACAAAATGTGTTTTAAAATGCAAAGACACTAAATTGTTTGGGGAAACTTTAACACACTTTTCCAGTCTTTTGACAGGATAAGTCAAAATAAATAAATCGATGAAAATGTAGAGAATGTGTACAATATGATCAATAATGTTCATTAATAGATGCAAATTAAACCTGAGTCCTAGGAGCAGCAAATGCTTTTTCTGTTTTGGCAAATGGTATTCACATTGATTCACCAAGAGGATCATACGATAGGTAATAAAGACTATTATATTAACTTAAAAAAAATCTGAAAATATTGTTGAGTGCGACACACACACTTACACATACACACAATTTGCTAACAATATGGTAATAACATTACCTTTCTCACCTCAACAGCAGCAGGAAACCCTAGGATTAGACAACCTCCCTCACCAAAAAAAAAAAGTTTGAAATCTCTCATAGAGAACACCTATAACCCATCAAAATTTGCCCCTCCACATACTCCCTATCATATTACCTTCAGGTATTTTCTTCAAAACACTTGCCTGCAATAGCTTTACAAAAATAGCTTTGGGGACGCCTGGGTGGCTCAGTGGTTGAACATCTGCCTTTGGCTCAGGGCGTGATCCTGGGTTCGGGTATCAAGTCCCACATCGGGCTCCCTGTGAAGAGCCTGCTTCTATCTCTGTCTATGTCTCTGCCTCTCTCTGTGTCTCTCATGAATAAATAAAATCTTTAAAAAAAGATTCAGGACGCCTGTGTGGCTTGAGTCTATTAAGAATCTGCCTTCAGCTCAGGTTTTGGGGTCGAGTCCCGCAGCAGGCTCCCTGCTCAGCAGAGAGTGCTTCTGCTTCTGTTTCTCTGTCCCTCTGCCTATTCTCTCTGTCTCTCTCTTTCAAATAAATAAATAAAATCTTTAAAAAAAAATAGCTTCTATTATTTAGAACAGTTTTAGTTCACAGTTAAGGTGAGCAGAAATCACAGACATCCCCCGGCCCCCCTAAGGGCACAGCCTACCCCACTATCAAAATCTCACGCAAGATGTTAACATCCACAAACCTACACTGACACATCATTATCACCCAGAGTCCATGCTTTACATTAGGGTTCATTCTTGGGCTTGTGCATCCTGTGGGTTTGGGCAAATGTATAATGACGTGTATCACTGTTATAGGATACAGAATAGATTTGCTGTGCTAAAAACCCTCTGTACTCAGCTTATTCATCCCCCCTTTCTCAATCCCCTGGCAACCACTGATCTTTTTACTGTCTCCGTAGTTTTGCCTTTTCCAGAAAGTCAGAATTGGAATCACGCAATATGTAGACTTTTCAGACTGGCTTCTTTCACTTAGTAATATGCACTACAGGTTCCATCCGTGGCTTTCCATGGCCTGATAGCTCATTTCTTTCTAGCACTGAATGATGTTCTACTTTGGAGGTACCACCGTTTATGTATCCATTCACCCACTGAAGGACACCTTGCTTGCTTCCAGATATTGGCAATGATGTTATAAACACCCATGCACAGGTTTTTTGTGTAGATATAAGATTTTGCATCCTTTGGTTAGTAAATAGCAAAGAGCACCATTGCTGGATCTTATGGTAAAAGTAAGTTTAGTTTTTAAGAAACTGCCAAACTGTCTTCCAAGGTGACCTTATCTTTTTGTGTTCCCATAACCTGCATATGAGAGCTCCTGGTTTTCAACATCCTCACCAGCAATTAGTGTTGTCAGCATTTTGCATTTTCACCATTCCAACATTTGTGTATCTCATTCAAATTTGTGATTCCCTGATAACATATGATGTGGAACTTCTCTTTATCAACGTGTTTGCCATATGTGTACCTTTATGGTGAGGCATCTGCCCAGATACCTTGACTATTTTTAAATTGAGTTATTTTCTTATTGTTGAACGTTAAGACTTCTTTGTATATTTTGGATAACAACAGCCCT